GGAGGGAGGGTCATAAGAATATTACAGAGCCTCTTAAAGGGATCAGGTAAATTTTATCCTGAAACAACCAAAATCCTCTGATACCCCCTACCCCCACAGGCGATAACTAAGGACCATTCCTTTAATAGACACTCGTCCATGATAAAAAGGTCGAGATCTAAGCGTCTCTTTGAGTGGAACCTTCTCCAAAATCGAACTCCGTGGTGTAACTGTCAAAAAAAAAGGCCAAAAGTCTTAAGCGATCTCGTTGAGGCCGATCTAAGCGCACGAGAGGCGCATGAGATCATCTTAGCCGAGCCTTGTCGTGTTTGATACGTGCTTTATCACGTGACTTAAACTGTATCATATTTGCTGATTTTCCTTTGATTTCATTTTCCTCCAGGAAGGACAAGGTTTTTTTTTTTGCTTTTTTCGAACATTTAAAAGCCTTTGACCACACCCTTGCATATTTTCCGGCTGTTTTAACAGCAGAGGGAACCGAGTCCTTTCTCTCAGGTGTCGAGTAGCAGTCTTGAACTCATGGATTTTTTCCGTTTCTTTCACTTTTACCTAGAAAGTAAAAAAGAAAAAAACATGAATATCGATAATCAGACTGAAGAGAATGCATTCCATACTATAAACAATCGATCAAAATTATTGTCATCTTCCCAACTCCCACTTCCTCTCCCTATTTCCAATTCATTATTCACCATTCCTTAATTTTCACTTCCCATTCCTCAGTTTCCACTTCCCATTTCTCACTCCTTGTTTTAACATGATTTTTGTACGCACCGCTGACCGGTTTGTCCACGGACACTTTCCCACTCCCTTACTCCTATACATGTATAAATGATGGAGAAAGCGCTAAACTAAGCACGTTTAGTTTCTGGTCCAAGAGAAACCGAGTGAACACCGGGAATTAGTCACTTGTCTTCAAAGTTCTCTGAGTACACATGCCAACATGACATGTTTCTACTTGATGGACTCACCATGAAAGAGAACTTCCAAATTGGTGAAAGCGCGCAGAGAGGTATAGCTCATCCTGACCTCCTATGCTGCATCAATATGAGTATTTCAGGGCTAGAAAATTCATCTTGTTATATCCGAGCCGAAAGAGTAAAAAATAACTTAAAAAGTGTCCTTTCCGCTTCAGTTTAGTAAGCATGTAGGGTAATGGTTAGCTATACGAAGAATGATATTCAGATATTTTGATCAACATATAAGAGGCGTTCTTTCGCAAAATAAAGATGAGCATAACGCTGAAAACACTAGCGCTGTTTATGACAAGAAACCTAATTTTTGTGCAATGCTTTGGACAACAAGATTTATTTAAGGTCCCTGTTGACCCTTTGAGTGACTGACATCTAATTTCTCCTTACAATATCAACCTTGAATCAAACATTAAGGTAACAAGAATAAACGAAATGATCCCCAATTTAGAAGCTTAAACAAATTCTCCTTGTCAGCACTTTAAGAAAATTATCAAGAACAGTTTGGAGAATATGAATACTGATGTTAGGGTGTAAAGGATTAAGTAAAAGGGCCAAAGCATGAATTTTTTTTCGCTATTTTTATTTTATTTTATTTTTCCGACGCCACACTCAAAAGGATTCCGATCTGTGACACCTCACTGTTTTGGTATCGCTCATCCCTGTGCTCAGCATAAAAAATATAACGATCAATTGAATAAAGAAAATTTTTTCCTTCGATGGTGAGGATGCCACCAGAGGAAGTTTTAACTTAATAAGATTAGCAAATCTGCCTTTCTTTTTGCTGTGAATCCTGTATATTTTGAAATAACTTTATTTTTAATTGATCCTGCGGATCACCAGCTGTACAGTAAGGAAAACACGGATCAATGTCAGCATCCGAGCAACTGCGCGACCACCCCTCCCCTAACCCAACAACAGCCCACTGATTACAACTTAGGGTTAATGTTGAGTTATGGGAGGGGTAGATGCGCAGTTAGATTCTGACACTGATCTGGAAATGCTATCGTTCATGAGAACTGGTATTCACCTCAACAGAGCTTTAGGTCAAGTCAGTATTCTGCTCATTATACCTTTTATCTTAGGCTTATCCTTATTGTTCAAAAAGCCTTAAAAGGTCAGGCACAGTTTAGAAGACTATCAGAAACTTTTACAAATCCCGTGAATCTTAGTAACTAAATTTCTTCATAAAAAGCATAGTGCAAGAATCTGTTGTTGTCTTCTCTTTCCGGATAAAGTGATATCCAATTCAGTGATTTTTCGCAAGCGTTACAGATGAATGAACAAATAACACTTTTATCATGAAAGGAAATCTTATTAAATCATAGCAATAAAGGAAAAATATATACACAATAAACAACTTGGCCAAAAAAACAAGAGACTTCCCGTTCTGTTTACTCAAAGGAAAACCACCGATCTGTGGAATGGGCCCGAATTTACGCGTTACTGCCTCGCCCACAATCGTTAACCATTTTTATCGTACCCATTCCCACGCTACGTGCACGATTTACTGACGCTTCACGTTTTCATATCCATTTTCAAACAAGTCCTTCCAAATTTGTTTTACTGTCATACTTAACTCTGTCTTCATTGGCAATCGCGGAAAAATTTACCACGAAGAAATCTGTGGTGAAGTCTCCGACTTTTTAGATGATATCTAGTATTATCTACCTCTCAGGCAACAGGCCTGAAATTTATCTGAGGTAAAGAGCATTAATTTTCTAGCGTTATACATTAAAATGACAGTCATGACCTTTGATGAGCTCATAGAGACACTGATTTGCAGTTGTTACTGCATTACAACCTTTAAAAAAAAGTTATTACGCTAAGTAGGCACAGCAATGAATAGCCGTATACAAAATAGCAAAACAAAGTAACAATACGCTTTACATTGTAAGCGTAAAAGTCCAGCTGTAAACATCGACATGGAACAACCTTTTGACATGCACGTCAGCACTTCCCAGTAACCGTGACCTTTCTGAAATCGATCGTCTTGACCAATTCTCCCCTAGAAATAGGTATTACGATAGATAAATATAGCTCCGGGTTGCAGAACCGAGCTCGCCTTCAAAAAGCCTCCGATGTTATCTGCGAAAAACGAGGATCTCAATGGGATGATGGCTTTTACGGTTAACGGTTAAAATTTGGACCATTTTATTACGGCTAACGGTTAACTTCCTCTGTGATACAAAGAAAAGGTTTTTACTGTTAACTTTTTTGCGGCTAACGGTCAACTTTCTTCGATGTCTATGATTATAAAAAAGCCGAAAAGATTTTCCGGTTAGCTTTTTTACGACTAACGGTTAAAATTTGTTAGTTTTTACGCTTAACGGTTACTTGTTTTGGCCGTTTTTCTGCTAACAGTTCACCCTTTACACCCTAGAAGTGACCGACATCTAATTTCTCCCCACTATAATATTGCTGAATCATTCATCAAGATCATGAGAATAACAGAAACGATTACCAACCCAAGAAAATCTTGATTGTTGAACAAATTCCCTTCGTCAGTACCGATGAATTTGTATAAAGAGTGAAGAGATATGGATTCTGATGTTAGGGTGTTAAGGGTAAAGACCATTGAGACCCTAAAAAACTGAGGGCCCATAAACTGACAGATTCATTTGTTAAATAAAATAAATCTTTCTTAAAGTGCCGCCAACCTCAAAATTTTTTTAAGACAATATAAATCTCCTTGTCTTACTGTTAACAAAGTCGAAAAACTTAATGTCGCATCTATTTTAGTTTAATGAATTTTCAAAGATCCTAAAATGAACCCCCTTCATGTTCACGACCGAGAAATAGGGGAAATGGGGCGGGTTGGATCATGACACCATCCCGGCCGAGAACCGATTCTCCATATACATTTTGACAAGTTATACATACATTGTAGTCGCTTTAGGTAAAGTGTTGTGGAAATAGTAAAATGGTAGTAGCCCCTAAGTATAATCTTGAGTACTATGGAAAGCCCACCTTTTCATTTATTGCTCGCTCACCATGGGACAAATTAGCACACCAACTAAGAACTACAGCATGCCTAAGTTCTTTTTTAATAATAAAGAACTTTTTATTCAGTCGTTCCTTTTAGATTTTTCTCTCCTCAGACTTGTTTGTTAACAAATCGTACCTTATGATGCAATTTTTATATATTTCTTAGCAACTGTGTTAAACACAATTGGTTAATTAGTAGAAATGGCGCTATAGAAATAACGATTATCATTATTATTATTTTTATAAAAAGAACTAAATGCCATTCGTGAGACAGCTGTTTACTAGAAAAGTAAAAAAACTTATTTTAGCTTAGCAACAGCTGGGTCTGAAAGTGTTTTCCAACTTTGTTTTGTTACAAACAGCTAAGAAAGAGCATATACATGAGATCCAAATTCTTAACTTCAACACGCCACAAACACATTAAGGATAGCCAAACAGAAAGCAAAAAGTGAAGAACTGTGAGTAACTTACTCTTTATTCCAGATGGTTTGACGAATAACTTAGACAAACGTCCGCTTTGGATTTTCTTTATTGTCTAAAACGTTTACATTTAGCTGTATCTCGAATGTTTTTTTTTTATACCTGCGCTTTTGTAGCAGGAAACGTTCTTGCTAAACCGTGAAACATTTGTGTATCAGCTTTAGTCTGATGGTCTCTGCCAGTCAACTCTAACTTTATTTCAGCTTATTGTTTAATTCCAGCAGTTTTTGTTGAACTATCGTGTCTTGGATAGCGTGTGACCATACCTCGATTGCTAGCCCATGCCACTATGTTATGATCTTCACTAGTGAAGACACTTACAATGTCACAAGGCTTGCACATAATTCTACTCGTTTTTTCAAAATTTTTTCATTTCAATTTCGTTTACATTTTTTTACACCTGAACCCCAGAATCAATAAAAAAGGAAATAAATGATACATTTATTTCTCAATGAAGAACACCTTCCCAAAAATATTTTAAAAATTATTTCATCTTGAAATGATTTTTTAATTGTGCGATTATCAAAAAAAATTGGGCTTTTTGTCTAGTAATAAAGCACGCTGAATTGTGTATATCCTGCTTTTTTACTGATCCAACGACAAAAATGGCAGAAATTGGCAATGTTTTGTCAAGTCAACAATTTCTGCATCGATTTAGGAACAGAAATCCTCACTTTCAAAGATTTAGACGGTCATTTAGTATGTTTACTTCTAAGGGAATCCTTAAACTTGTCAGAGTTTCTGCGAGTCTCTTTCGTTTAGTTGGGGTTAAGTACAGGCCAAAATCAGATGATCCTGGCAGTATGTCGCTGTAACCGCCAAATATTGATTTCACAACCGTCTCAGCTTATCGTCACAAAGTCTCAACACCTTGAAGCGATTATGGGAATGTGCCAATGTTCTACTGTGTCACAATCGGCGCCTTAAAAGAACATCTCGATTTAATCAGATAAATCGCAATACTATTTGAAACTTTGAATGCTGGACCGACTCATCAGCTGTGAATATTTTCACGTGTAACACAAGAAAATTTGATACACATGACGGGAATTAGTAAGTCAACTAATTGTCGAACTCATCGCTCACTGTTTTTCATGAACTTACATTTTATCC